AAAAAAAACCCAAATCTCAGAGATTGCTGTACTCGCATGTTCGTCGCAGGTTTCGAGATTTCGGACGAAACCCATTTCGAGATTGGGAAAATCCTTTGGACATTTTGGCGGCGTTTTATTGGATTATGTGAAGTGATGGAAATTGGGTTCGTGATGGGAACCGAGATTTGGGTTCGTGTATACGGATAAAGTGGGTTTTCTTGTGTGTCACGGGGCTCGATCTTGTCGGGTTTGGTTCGATTGCTGAATTAAGATGGTAAGTGTACGATGAACTGGCATTGCATGCCTTTTGGATTTGATATTGTTCGTGATCTTGTTAGAGATTGTTTGGATCGATTCCTGTCTGTGGTTGGCCGATACAGGTTATGGTGAAATTAATAAACAGAGGTTATTTAGAATGATTAGATGGTGTCTTTTGTTGTATTGCTTTTTATTAGTGCAGCCTTGGATCACTAAGAGTAGAAAGGATATAAGTGGTCAGAGCATAAATTTTTGTGATTCTTTTCGAGTTTTTGCTTAAAGATTTGATCTTGTTAATGCATTGGTAGTTCTTGGTTGAAGATATGACAATCAGAGTCACCATTCGTCTCACTTTTAGCTCTCGGTGTCTTCTTTCTAATATATGCGTTGTTTAATAAACCTCGTCAAATTTCTATGCAGAGTACCCCGGTGAATATCATTGTAGGTTCCCATGTCTGGGTCGAGGACCCAGACATTGCCTGGGTTGATGGGCAAGTGACAAAGATAAATGGGAAGGAAGTTGAAGTTCAAGCATCTAACGGGAAAAAGGTAAAAACTTCAGCACTTACAGACCCTATAATGTAAATACAAAATGAATTTCTATATAGTAAATATACTCATTAATGTACAAATGTCTAGGTCCAGCAAATTTGTGGAAGTGCTTTCTCATTGTCCTTGCTTTTTTTTTTTTTTTTTTTTTTTCTTTATTTCAACCTAGCAGATTGTTGCTAAATTAGCTAACATATATCCCAAAGATGAGGATGCACCTGCTGGTGGAGTGGATGACATGACAAAATTATCATATCTGCATGAGCCTGGAGTCCTTCAGAACTTGGCGACAAGATACCAACTGAATGAAATATATGTAAGAACGATATGAATATTCAATCAAGAAATGATTTTGTTCTGCTGTAGTAATATTTTTTGCCTGGTATTATTTTTTCAGACATATACCGGTGGCATTCTTATTGCCATTAATCCATTTCAAAGGCTTCCTCACTTGTATGATGGTCACATGATGGAGCAATACAAAGGAGCCCCGTTTGGGGAACTTAGTCCTCACGTGTTTGCTATTGCGGATATGGCTTTCAGGTTTAAAACAGCACACATTTTTACTGCAGTTTTCTTATTTCATTTTCAGGCT